ATCTTGAGTGTAGCTTAGCAAAATGCACTCCTGGATCCTTTTGAGAGCCATACCAGAATTTACCGAGAAAAACTTTGCAACAGCACTAAACTCACAGGACGCAAGAGCTAGCAAATCATTTGAAAATGGCGCCTAAAATGACAATACTATCCCAAAATATTTTTTTCGTGAAGTCGTACTCGTATGTCCTGCTTACACATTTTTTACAAGAACGACAACGAGTACGAGTACGAGATGGACTCGTTCTCGTACTCGTACTCGTTGTCAATGCTAACACTCTCTATTATAAATCATATCAGTGGAATTTGTGATATTGGGAAGAATTATCCCATATTCTGTTTTCTTCACAATTTTCTCTGTGAACCCAATCAACTCTCCAAATTTACTGTTTCTCAGATCCAGTTGGTAATTGTTGTCAATCTGCATGAGAGTCTTATATGTTGACAATACGAATGTTAGGTTAATGTGGTATTTGTCACCAGTTTTATCGTCGGTGGTAAGATGACCTTTCTTTTTCATGTACTGGTGGAGATAGTCATTAAGATCTGAGTAAGTATACATTCCATCAATAAATTTGACTGTTTGCCAAATTGTGCCACCATTAGGTGGGTATTTTATTTGGTTATTTTGATACTGTTCTGAAATATTATGCCAACTGTAAGTCATTGTAACCTTATCCAATGCTATTTCGTGTGTCATATCATTTTGGAGTTTCAGAACTGGATCAAATTTGATTATGAAATCTTCTGCTTTATTCTGTCCGATTTTCTGTCTATCAACAGATGATATATGGATTGCTCTTTCTTGCATTATATTATTAGATTACATATACCTTTAACAGACTATTAAGCTGGGTGTTATTTAGAACACCTAATTTGTTTAGTGTGTGAGCAATTTTGGAAAATTCATTTTTCACACCCTTATTTCCAGCTAGTATTGATCCGCCTAACAATTCCAGTCTATCAAAAAGGTCAGCTGGATTATTATAATAAACAACACCTGAGCCGATTTTTTTGTATTTATTACTTGTTCGGTGAATTGGAATGTCACTTATCCTGTTCAGGTCGTCAAATACCATTTTTGATAATGGCGAATATTTCTTTTTACTGTTGAACCGCTTTGTGAGCAGATCAAGTGTATCAAAGTCCACTTGCTTTTCATAGACTTTTTTACCATCCTTATGAGGAGTTAGTTTGAGCTGGCCATAAAGTTTGGGCACATCAATGGTTACATTTCCGTAAACACCAGTATTAGGGTTAACCTTATAAGCATTCCTCTTCTTCTGTGTGTAAATACCCTTACCAACTTTCAATGTTTATGAGCCTTCCTCTAACATACCAATTCTTTGTACGTATTTTTTTATGATGTCAATTCCTTCAGTATATTCGGCAATTTCATTCTTATTTTTCTTTCTATTAGTTTTTGTTGTGCTTAAATTAGCTTTTTTCCGGCCTAATTCCTTATTTATTTCACCAGATTTATCCAGAATTTGTTTCGCATAATTTGGCTGTTTTAAGGTTTGCAAGATGTCAGCTGGTAATGGCAATTGCTGGCTTTGTATGAATGCCAATTCTTCTTGAGTGAATCCTTTATTCATATCAGCTACCATCTTAGGCGCCACCTCAACACTTGGGCTTGGTAATGCTAATCTCTGAACTTGCTCAGCATATGGGACAACTTGTTTTTTAACACCTTCTCTCAATTTACTGATCTCCTCCATTTCCTTATCAAACGTTTCCGTTAGAGGTTTCAGGTCTTCAGACGTCTTTTCGTAAACATTCTGCTTATTAGTTCGAACTTCTTTTATAACATCCCAAACAACTTCGGTCATTTTTCCTGCTTCAATTTTAGGAATACTGAGTCTCTTGAATCTTTCAATATCCATTATACTATTGTGTTATATAAAACTTATCTCAACTTATCTTAAGTTATCTAATGTAATAGTATAATGGAGATTCCAAATTATGATTTCAATGAAGATGAAAATACAAACTTCAAACAGCTGTACAAGTACATGCCTAAATCCAATTTTAGGATGCTAATATGTGGCAATTCAGGGTCAGGCAAAACAAACCTACTTTATCACATCCTAATGAAACCATTAGTCTACTATGACCGGATCCATTTATACGGCAAAAATCTGGAACAAGAAAAATAGCGGCACATGATAGACACAATGAATGACATTAGTGGACAGGTTGGATATGACATAATACACTGCAATAGTGATGATATAAAACCTGTCAATAGTCTGGAAAGTGATGCCCAGAAAATTGCAATATTTGATGATTTCATTTGTGATAAAAACCAAAAGCCGCCTATCGATTTTTTCATTCAAGGGCGACACAAGAACTGCAGTGTTATTTCCCTCTCACAATCATTTTATGAAACTCCAAAAGATATCAGATTGAACTGCAGTCATTATGTTGTTTATGATTTCCCTAGCAGTAACGAGAGAAATATGATTTCTAGAGAGTTGAATGTAACAAAGGATCAGTACATTAAAGCAACAAAACAACCCTATTCATTCCTGTATGAGGATAAACCAATGAAGACTGTCAAAAGAAACTTTTACGGAAATATATAAATTTAAAATATCGTATTATCCTTTCTCTGGTAGATGATTATATAACCAATAATATATGAACGTACATTTGAAATTCAAAAGTCTCCAATATGCTGTAATGGCAACTGAATTGCTATATGATCTACATCCTATAATATTAAAAGATATACTAGATATGAAACGGGCTCTTGGTTCAATTCTTGGACAAATTATCCAACCATCAAATAACCTAAGAGTAAAGAGAAAAACTTACTAAATTAATATAACCTATTTATAAGGAAGTATATCTAGAAATTGAAGATGTCAAATATGGTAGAATGATTGCTGAATTATTTGAAAATCTATCAGAGGGTTGTCTATATGAACTTCTTAATCACAAACATGAATCTTTAGAACAAGCTCGGATTGTTGGCAGAGTTATTGGGATGGATGATTCAATTACTAATGAAGAAGCCAAGCTGTTAAAAGCAAATGGATTTCATGTAAGGGACATAACTGAATAAAAAAATAGTAGTGGATGGAAATATCTAATGTACTATTATAAAATGGGAATTTTTAATCAGCAACCTAATTATAATCAATCATACTCAAAAGGAAAACCAATACGTGGTATTCAAGGTCCGCCTGGCATTGGTTTTAATCTCACATCAGATGAGAATTATGATATGTCAAACAAAAAACCGACAAATATGGCTAAAGGAACTGCTCCCAGTGACGCAGTAATAAAACAGCAACTTGATACTAAACTATCACTTTCTGGTGGTTTAATGACCGGCAATTTGGATATGAATAAAAATAGGATATACAATGTGGCTCAACCAGATGGTGATAATCAACCAGGTACAAAAATATGGTCAGAAATAAATTCCTGGATAAGTCCAGTGGAGTTATGGCTGGACCAATAAATATGTCTAATAATAAAATTACTCATCTTGCACCAGCAACACAAGATGGAGATGCTGTGGATTTTAAATTCTTCAATAAGTATACCGCCGCCAAAACTTCAATCTGGCACCCACACAATACCGCCAGCTACGCAGGCTAATCTGGCTTCTAATATCGTATCGGCGTGTTTAGTCATTATTGGTTGCGTAGCTGGGGGCATCACAGCCAATCCCATTATTATAGGTACTGTAAAAGGTGCTGGTGTATTACTCAAAACATTTTGGGAAACTAAGAACTACAAACGCCAAATAGAAATGAGCAAATATGCGTATACAACATATCAAAAAAATATCAAAGCTTAAACAGGACTTTTTGAAAGACGTTAATATTCTTGTTGATAGAATTATAGATTTCTGTCCATTAGTAACAAAATTTGAGTAACAATATGGGAAAAAATTCCTCTCTACCCCCACTACTAACTCTAATTAATATTCTCCTTGATGAGATAATAGATTTGAGCCCACCACTGGCTGTAATAATTTAATGTCTTCTTTGATTTTGTGAGAGGAATAAACTTGTATTCTATTCCTAAAATGTCGAATAGTTGTTTGAGAATAAAATTGACACTAATCATGCGTTTCCGGCCAATATTAACTTCCAGTGAGTTTTGGTCAATCAATCTAAATATTCTCAAAATTTTCTATCCGATTGGATGTTATTCTTTTGAGCAATATCATTCATGACATTCAAAATATGATATTTTCTGTGATATACAGACTTCTTTCTTATCTTGTGTCTATTTTCATAAAAATCTACATACTCGTCTGCTGTTAAATAATCATGCACTTGGCCATAATTAATACACACGAGGTGTCTGTCCTTAATCAATTTCATATTACTACAACAAAAATATATCTTTGGTTTACCCGGGTCTTGAATCTGCTTACAACAAAAGATGCAATTAATAGCATCCTCATCCTGGATGAACATTTGGTGAATTTCTTCAGTACACATTACTATATACTATATGGAGATTTTTATTTTTATATATTTTTATGCCCATACGCATAACTCGTAATTCCATCCTCGAGTATATACCGTTTGTTATCAAAGCAGCTAAGCGATATTTTATTCAATTGGTAGCTACTAAGTCTGTGATGATCACTCCGGATTGTATTCATTTTATGTAATATCTGTTTGTTATTAAATAGTACATCTTCGTAGTTGCTATGTGATATATTTTTCTTTCTGACATCTTTCTTAAACCCCCCTACATGTTTTATTATTCTTCCCATTATCCATCAAATAACTGTACATCTTACTCCGGAGGCCAATAAAACTACCCATTGGCAATCCGCCACATTCGTCTTTGAATTTACCTGGTACTTTTTTGTTACTAGCATCATACAAAGGACTATTTTTTAGCATAATCACTAAAATCATACAAGTCTTTCTGGGACCACATATCTTGGTAGGCATCTTCCGTAGTAATTTCATAGCATAAACTATCTGTATCTGTAAACAGTAATCTAGCCTTGTTACCACACAT